TGTATTTCCCTGATGAGGAGTGATGTTGAGCATCTTTTCATGTTATTATGCCTTTCTCTTAAACATTCTAAAGACCAGCCAGCCCTAAATCACACTTTGAATGTTGTTATTTTTGTCTTTATTTCTCTTTGCTATTCAAACTCCTTTCTTCCAATTTCTGTGCTATTATGGCATATAATCGAAAATAATGTTCTTATAATTCTGATCATGACTTCAGGGAAGCCCTGGCATTTGTTGAGCACCTGCTATGTGCTGGGCATTATGCCAAGTGCATTTCACATATTTATCTTATCACAATACCTTCATTTTGCAAGTGAGGAAATAGCGGCTTTAGAAGTTTCTAAGCTGTTCAAGGTCATACAGAGAATGAAGTAGCAGACAAAGAAGCCTCCAGTCTCACCTTTCTCGTGGACTGTGCTGCATTGAGAAATGAGGGTGTTAAATTTCAGAAGGATTAAACTCCTTTCTTAAGAGCTTGTAGGTGAAGATTTTTCCTTATTCTACTGAGAAGAACAAAATTAAATATAAGATAATTTATGAAAAATAATGCTGTCCAGTAGAGTCTCAGTTCTCTTTCCTGACTGACATCCACACAAAATTACCCATGCTTACCCCCCCTCCAAGAAAAACACCCTTCTCATAGAGTTGAATCAGTCTCACCAGCTCTGCAAGTGCCTTGGCCCATCTTGCCTGTCCCGTAGCATAGTTTGGCACTTAATTATATGCATTGCCTTACAGTCTTAGATTAGTTCTTTTTATTGTTGTTTTGGGGTTTTATGACCTCTTTGTGAGCAGAGGCTGGATTTTACGTTTCTTTTCCCTCCCCTGAAATGTTTCTAGTGCAATTTTGAGGATGCTGATAAGTCTTTAAAGTTTAAGATTCATGCAGGCTTAGATCTGACTCTGGGTTCTTGCTCCTTCATTCACCAATTCTATGATCTTGGGCAAGTTCTTTAACCTTTGTGAGCCTCTGTTTCCTCATTTGTAACGTGTGTGTGATGGTACCTGCCTCCTCCAGGGTTGTTGTAAGGATTCAGTGAGCTAATGTCTGTAAAGTTCCTAGCACAACATTTCAAATGTACCTTTTATTCATTCATTTGATTAATACCAATGGATACCAACCATGTGCCAGGCACTGTTTTAGACTCTTAGTGGTTCTCAGGTGGGGGGAGGGCAGGCATTTGGCAATGTCTAGAGACATTTTCGATTGTCACAATCCCAAGAGAGGAGGCTGCTCCTGGCATCTCGTCGGCAGAGGCTAAGGATACCCCTTAATGTCTGGTAGTGCACAGAGCAGCACCCCACAACAAACAGTCATCTGGGCTGAAATATCAGTAATGCAAAGGTTAAAAGACCCTGCTCTGGAAGGAGGGATATAGTGGTAGCAATAAGATAGAAAAGGTCCCTGGTCTCATGGAATCTATACTTCAGCGGGAAAAGACAGACAATAAGCTAGTAAATGAATAAATGAAGAAAACAATTTAGATGGTATTAAATACTGTGACGACAAACACAGTACTGTGATAGTGACTGGGGATAGAGTGAACTTTATACACAGAGGTAAGCTAAGGTCTCTCAGGTTCCATTTGAGCTCAGTCTACCTGAATGATAGGACATTGAGAGTTAAACAGTGAGCGGGAAGAAGAGTGGTCCAGGCAGTGGGGAAAGCAAGTGCAAAGGCCCTGAGGCAGGAAAGAGCCCACATAGCTGGAAATAGTGATTGATGGGTAGGTAGGAAATGAGGTGGGCAAGACCCTACAGGGGCAGGAGTTGGCAAACATGTCCTGTAAAGGGCCAGATAGTAAATATTCTAGGCTTTACAGCCCATATGGTCTCTGTCTCCACTACTCAGCCCTAGTGTGAAAGCAGCCATAGATAATATGTAAATCAGTTGTGATGGCTGAGTTCCCAGCAAACAGGAGGCATACCAGATGTGGCCTCTGGGCCGTAGTTTGGGAAACCCTGCTATTTGGTCTTGTAGGACATGGTGAGGAGTTTGGATTTTTTTTTTTTTTAATTTTTTTTTTTTTCAACGTTTATTTATTTTTGGGACAGAGAGAGACAGAGCATGAACGGGGGAGGGGCAGAGAGAGAGGGAGACACAGAATCGGAAACAGGCTCCAGGCTCCGAGCCATCAGCCCAGAGCCCGACGCGGGGCTCGAACTCACGGACCGCGAGATCGTGACCTGGCTGAAGTCGGACGCTTAACCGACTGCGCCACCCAGGCGCCCCTGGATTTTTAAATCCGGTTGGAAATCGTGTAGGATTTTAAAGCAAGGGAGTGACATGATCTGTTTTACGGTGTGAAAGGATCACTCCAGCTGTTGTGCGGACAAAGGGTCCTCAGTGAGCTGAAGCCAGCCAGCCAGCTTATCCCTGTGTCCTTTCAGGTAGTTTGTGACAGTCACACTTGGCTCCTTGTCATTTCCCGCACACACTTGGCAGTCCTCTGTCTCCGAGCCTTTGCTCCTACTGTTTCCTCTGCCTGGAATTCTCCTTCACCCCCAGGAAATAGCACAGCTCAGAGGCCTCCTCCCTTTGCCCTCTTCCAACGGAGCCACTCTTCCTTCCGTGTGCTTCCCGCGGGTATCTCTATGACAACGCTTATTTGGGTCGGCCTCGTGATGACAGAAGTGCTGTACGAGCTGCTGTTTAGTGAGGATGAAGTGATGCATCAGATACCTTTAAAACCTTTAGATACATTTTCTCATTTAATCCTTGCATCAACTCTAAGTGGTGGATATTATCCCCATTTTCCAGGTGATAAACTTGGAGTTCATTGGACTACATAACCCCAAGTTCACACAGCTAGAAAGGGGCCGAGGCCAAACTGGAGCCCAGCTCTCCTTGATTGCAGAGCCCCTGGGGGATTGCGCTCTAGTTGTTTCTGTAGCCCCCACTAGTCTGTGAGCTCCTTGAGGGAAGGGGCTGTGTCTCATTCGTGTCTATGCCCTGTGCCTAGCACAGTGCCTGGCAGATAATAAATGCTCCGTAAATGTTTATTACACTGACCTGGCTTCTAGTAACATTCTGAGTGTTACAAATGTGCTATCTCCAAGACCACTAGATGTCACTTTATGTACACAAATGGGTCCAGAGTTTAATATGGCTGAGAAGGTATTAAACAGCTTCTGGCCATTTAACACAGAAGAACTGAGCCTTTCTTTGAATTATGAATCTGGTCATGGCTGTCCATTTTCAAGTACTTGACCATGATTCACTTGCCTTCCAGATGAGGTCTTGCATCATTTTCCTCCCTTCGGTGTGTTTGTATTCTGAGATGCTCCTGCTACAGCTTCTTACACTGCTGTTTTTTCTGTGTTGTCTGTAGTAGTGACCTTAATCGATAAACATTTGAGCACCTATTGTGTATCAGGTACTGTGCTAGACTCTGGGGATACAGAGATGAATTGAGACATGGCCTTTACCCTCAAGGAGCTCACAGTCTATTTGGGGAGACTGACAGGTAAATAATTATACTCTACTGTGCTAAGTGTTCTAATAGAGGAATCTAGAAAGTGCTGTAGAAGCATGGAGGAAAGAATGATTCCACCTGCAGGGGTTATAGAATGATTCGTTCGGAATTAGAAAAAGTTGTTGGGAACACATGAAGGGCCACGTGTTTCAGTTAGAGGGGATGGCCTGAGCAAAGGCATGGAGGCTTGGGAGAGGACAGGGGCCAGGGAGAGAAGGGGGTGGGAATGGCTAATAGAGGATATGTAGAGGAGAATGAGGAGAAATGAGAGTGGAGAGCTAGGTCAGAGTGGCAGGGGTCGCTAGTTTGTAGCATCTTCAAAGCCACCCAAGGGGCTTCAGACTTGGCCCTGTCGCTTGTAAGCCACTCTCAGAGTCTTTTGCCAAGGGAATGACCCAGTGAGTTCCATGCTTTAGACACCTGACTCTAGGGGACAGCCTGGCAACTGGACAACCTTTCGGCCAACTGCCTCCGACCCCATGAGTCAGAATGAGGCCTGAGCCCGAGCAGTTGGGATAGAAAGGAAAGAAGATTTGGGAAACGGTTTAGAGAAAGAATGAACAAAGTTGGTGGGTGCTGGTCTTGAGGGGAGAGAGGGGAATCAAAGAGAGCTTCATAATGAAGCTGTTCCCTGGGTTACGGAAAGCAGGAATTTTAAGCACATAAAAGATAATTATGAAGAACCGAGGCTAATGTCTGTCCATTAGCCTATGAAAAAAAACTGTAACCGGGCCCTCTCTTCAGTCATCATAACAGAATGTTGCCATGAGAGCTGAGAGGTCCGAAAACACGCAGCTCCCTCCTGGAACTGCATTGTGCCTGCCTTATGTTTGGAACTAGCCAGCGGTTCCTATTCGGCAATCAGGGCGGCGCTGCTTTCCCCGACTCTGCTTCTAGTGCACTTCCATTCGGGGCCGAGAATGTTATTTTTCTGAAACTGGTCAGTGGGACTGCAGGAAGGGAATCATTAGTAGACCCTGCCTGCCTCAGGATCCAAGCTGTTGCTGAGTAAAGTGGCAGGGGCCAAAAATCGACATCAACAACCAGAGAGAAGCAAGAAAATGTTAACCATTCCGCGGCTCGCGTGTTAGGAAAAGTAGCTGCCTGACACTGTTTGTATGTGAATAGACCTTGACTTGGCCTCAAGATCTCATTTGCCTTTTGTGTTTCTCCTTTAGGGTTGGTGTTGATTCCGACCAAGAACATTTGGTAAATATGCTTTTGTGTTGTCTCTAGCATTTTTGTCGAATGTGCAGCCGTTTGGAAAGACAATGGTCTACTCTAGACTTCACGCCACTATTATTTAGATCGTGTCCTGTTTGTACCAGCTTTTAACTGACATCATTCCTGGCTTTTCTCACTGCTTGATAGAGACAAAACCAAATTTTAGACAACATGTGGTTATCAAGGGTGACAGCTCTCATATCTGTGGGCCAGCCTGGGCTTTGGCCACGAAGGGGAACAGTCCCTTAAGCACTCCTGGGTTTTCAAGTGACTGCTCTGGCACAGGGAGCCTTTTTCCACTCTGGTTTGAGCATGAAGGCTTGTCTCTGATGTCAGCCTCACTCCAGCTGCTCTTCCTGTGTAACTTTCCAATTGGATGACCAGCAGCTGCCCTTGAGAACCGCCTGGAAGCTTTGCAGTCTTCAACCAGTCTTCCCTGACTGTTCAGGAGAATGCACTTCCTTGCCCTGGGCCTCAACCTTGCTTAATCCTAGGTGTCCATTTCTCATTTGTTCCTCTGAACCTGAGCCTGAGACTGACCATCCTTTTCTGGTCTTTTCTATCTGCTTTTTAAAAAATAATTTTTTTAAGTTTATTTATTTATTTTGAGA